ACATACATACATCCCCCCCCCAGCATCCAGGATTTAAAGAAACATTCTAATACATAGATTCAGACTTTCAAAAACAAAAAGTGCTTTTGTTTTAGTCAGAAATCGAGTCTTCCATCAGAAAGAATGAAAATTTTAGAATTACCATTGAACTATAATTTTTTTTTTATTTTTTTTGAAATGTGAAAAAATGAAATAAATGTTTCCTTTGTTGCTCTTCCAAATCCTGATGAAAATTGCACACCAACAGATCTAATCTTTTTGATTATGGCTTGGTAGAAGTACTTTCAGCAGTCTCTTCTATCGGCTCAACACTTTGGTGCATATACCGCAGTGATCTATATTTTGGAGCATCCTGCAGCAGAATGATCATAACATGGAAAGTTAAGAGACAATTAATCCTGTCATTATATCCAGAGCATGGCAAATATCCCTAACAGGAGTGGACAGAAGATAAATTTGGTTATCTACTAGATAACACAGAGTAAATCAGCAAACGTTCAGATTTCTAACTTCAGCAGTAGTGAGAGCAAAACAACTGCTTCCTAAAATAACCCAGAGGTATATTTCTAAGCTACAGACTTTATTCAGGTCAGTTCGATCTTAGGAGAGCAGCAAATATCTCTCAATTGCTACCATTTTTCCATTTACATTCATTGTTCTAAGAATATACATACATGTATAAATTCTATAAGCCTGAAATCTGCAACAGAAAAGAGGTAAGTGGGCAGCCTATGTTTTTACTGGGGTACTCCATGTTCAAGTATGTTTTGTCTTTTTGGATTTATGTGTCACTCATCTCTTTGGAGGTAACACTGGGCAGCTTTAAAACATTAAAAACAGAAACATTAAAAACAGTAATAACTGTAATCATAGTTATACTAAAAATTCATTGGGGGGGAAAGCATAAACATGGGAGGTAGGGTCTTCAATCTACTAACCACCTCCACAGTGATGGGCCCCTTGTTGGGGACCCAGGCGCACTAGTAGAGATAGGTCTTCAGGCCCCTGGGAAGGTCAGGAAGATCAGTGCAGCTGATCTCACCTTGGGAGGCATGTTTTAAAAGGCAGGGGCCACAGCAGAGAAGTCTCTTCAGGATCCTGTCTGTTGGAATTCCTTGCCTGACGGGATCTGTAGAGTGCCCCCTCTGCTGGCATGGATGGGGGGAACCAATCTCATTGGGGTGAGGCAGTTCCTCAGTTACCTGGGATCCAAGCCATACAGCGCTTTAAAGGTAATAACATCTTGAATTGCAGCCAGAAGCAAACCAGCAGCCAATGAAGCTCATGAAGCAGCAGTATATCATGGGGCAGTTGAGGCTCCAAGAACTACCTGTACTGCTGCATACTGCTCCAGTTACGGCTTCCGAGCTATACTCTTCAAGGATAACCCATTAGAGTGCATTGTAATAGTCCAGGCATGAGATGACTACAGCTTGAGTGACTGAGTGCAAGGACTCCTGATCCAGGAAGGGGTGCAACTGACGCACAAAGGGTGCAAAGTTGGGCAAAACTCTCCTGGCTATTACTGTGAGCAGAAGTCAAGAGTCCAGGAGAACCCCAAAGTTGTGCACTGGGTCTGCCTGGGAGTCCCGGATCTAGGAGCCTCAGTGGCACAGTGGTGAGAGTGCAGTACTGCAAGCTGCTACTACTGCAATTTGGCAGATCGAATCCAGGCTCAAGGTTGACTCAGCTCTTCCATCCTTCCAAGGTGGGTAAAATGAGGACCCAAATTGTTGGCGGCAATATGCTGACTCTGTAAACTGCTTTGAGAGGGCTGTAAAGCACTATAAAGCGGTATATAAGTCTAAGTGCTATTGCTATCTTGAAGCTCCATGCATCCAAAGCCAGAGTTTGGTCTTGCCAGAGTTGCATTGAAATTGCTGTCCCCTACCTGGGCCACCACAGTGTCCAACACTGGAGGGGAGCAAGAGCATCATTCGGGTCACCAGGGGTAGAGATGTAAAGTATGTGGTTGGAGTTCTTTGGACAAATGACGGATACAACAACAATCATGAAGTCATTGTTATGTATATAAGGAAGAGAGCACCCAAGAGACTCGTTGGGCACTGTTTAGGATAGATGATTGACTGATTTGACTGATTGGCTCATATAAACTAAGTGTTTTCTACTCCATGGAAAATGTTTAAACAAAAGGGAGAAAATAATGCAGTCCCATAGGACAGTGGCAGATTGATTGGCAGGGGCTAGGAAAGTCATACTTTTATTGTCAATTATTGCAGAGGGTCTTCTCCACACTATTTTCAATGAGCTTTGAAATATAATTGAATAATGGGTAATCTATTAATACTTTTGTTCTCACTTTCAACCCTGTAACCATTTTCTACTAACCTGTTTCCCTATGATAACTGCAGATACAAAACCCATAAGCAGGAAAGCCATTGCGAAGTAGGCAACTTTCACACGAAGTTTGCTCCTTGTTGCACTCATCATCTTTGCCCTTTAAAAAGCAAACATAATGTTATCCCATGGAAATGGCTATACTGTATGTAAGATCTTGAAGGCAATCCTCCCATGGTTTTAACTTAAACTTAAATTTTACTAGTTTAACAGTTTAAAGCATTTGCTCTGTTTTTATTCTACTTTATTGTGATATTGCCATTTCAGTTAGAGAGATAATAACCTATTCCAACAGGAGAAAATATCAAATCTATGTGATGGATCATCTCTGTTGCAATTCTCTTCTGCAACAAAACATTTGAAGAGACTGACTCCATAGATGAGTCACTGAAAAGCAATCATACTTCCTGTTAATTACAGTAGGATGTTTGCAATTTCCTATACAGGCTTATGAGAAAAGATGAAACAGCATGTTTGCATGACAATAGCAATGACAGTGAAATGTAAAAGGTAGGCTTGTACTATGAAAGTTAAGAACAGTGGACAGCTTTCTCCAATCTGAATGTGAGCCAGATGTTTGAGCTTCAATTCCAGAATTTTCATTGCTCATATTAACTAAGGAAATCTAAACATCTGGACAAAGATGTGCCTGGGGAAAGCTAATAGTGCTTACTGAATCATACCTACAATTACTTTTTAGTTCAGCATCCTTACAAGAGTTTTTTGCAGATGAAATATGTCCTCTGAACAAGACGTTCCATTTAGCTGCCAACAAACGTTATTCTCACCAAATTTACAGAATACAGAAGGGAACTTGGAAATCATCTAGTCCAACCTCCTGCTCAAGCCGGAGAAACTATACTGACTTGATTACCTTCTTCTCTGTGACAGCCCCTCAAATATTGGAAGACTGCTATCATGTCACCCCTAGTCCTCTTCCTTAGACTAATTCTTGCAGGCATTCATCATACACATTTATCTCCAGTTCCCTAATAATTTATTTATAAAATTTAAAAATTTTACACAAAAAAATTATATAATTTAAAAAATCACTATTTAAGCCAGTCTACCAAAAACTATCAATATTGTAATTCCACAGTAGTATTCAGCCTTATTTAGCCTAAAACAGATGAAAATCCACTTGACTGAATATCCCAGAATACATGTTTTATAAGTCTATTATGTTTTATAAGCCTTTATCTAAACTAAACAGACAAACTTTTTGGTAGTTCCTCAAAGAAATGACTTAAGTATTTGATGTGAGTTTCCAAATCACAGGCCGTAATTCTGTTCTACTCTACATCTGTCAGACTAAATCTAGATTTTTGTGTCAAGCTTTGGAAAAACAATACTTCAAGATTGTTGATTATTGATTGTTGTTCCAAACAAATTGGAACAGGAAGATGGAAAAGTGGTCCTACAAAGAGAGATTGGGGGAAATTGTTTAATCTTGAGAAAGAAAATTTCATGAGGATAGGATAATATTCTTCTAGATCTTGATGGGAGTATTTTGTAGACAAAATAATCTACAGTCCAGAGTGCATTTTGTAGCCAGTTTACAAACTGCATTATAGACAGAGCAAATTGGCTCAACTGACAGCAATTCCAAAGGTGACTATAAACTAAAAGCTGCACCAGAGCTTCCAAGAAAATAAGCAAGTTGGCCTCAGATTGCTGCTCTTGTATTAACATGTCCTCATCTCCCACCAATGACCATCTGCCTTTTCATCACATGAAAAATATGTATCTACTTGAAACAATTGGTGTCAGTGACGATCATTTTTAATGGGTAATGAACATACGAAATATGCTGAGGTATATCTTCTTTTTTCTTGAAGCGACCTGACCACAGCAACAGTTTCTTATCCCATTCAGAAACTTCGTGGCTAAATGGAGAGGAGCGCACTGCAGGAGAAACAAAAGAGAAAATGCACCACCTGAAAACCCAAGGACAAAAGGCAGCATCAGAACTGAATTCTAACATCACAGCCAAGGAACCCCATCCCATGGTAATGTACCGTACAGACAGAGAATAGAGAATAAAACAGTTGGAAGAGACCTTGGAGATCTTGTAGTCCAGTGAGGCCGAACTTTTTTGTTGTGGTGTGTCGAAAGCGTGCATGCGCCAACAGCCACAATGCAATGCACCCTGTCCCCCCCCTGCTCGTGTGCAACACCCCCACCCCACCCCTTTACCTGCACTGCACATGCATGCACCTCCCAGCTGATTTTCAGCCCGTTTGAGACTGTTTTCACCTTCCCAGAAGCTGGAGGGAAGCCTCTGGAGCCTGAAAATGGGCCTGTTTCAGCACTTCCAGTATTTCCTGAAGGCCCGTTTTTCAGCCTCCCGAGGCTGCTGAGGCTTGCCTCAAACCTCTGGGAGGGTGAAAACAGCTTCCCTCGAGTTCCAGAGGCCCTCCGGAAGGTGAAAACAGGCACTTCCGGTATTTCCGGATGGCCCTTTTTTCAGCCTCCTGAGGATGCAGAGGCTTTCCTCAAGCCTCCAGGAGAGCGAAAACAGCCTCAAAAGAGCTGAAAATCAGCTGGGAGACGTGCGCATGTGCAGTGCAGGTAAACTTGGCTGGGGCTCGCGTGCCTGCTCAAATGGCTCTGCTTGCCACGTGTGGCACATGTGCCATAGGTTCGCCATCACGCTCCTATACTATTCTGCACAAATGGCCGTCCTGTTTCAACAATGAAGACAGTTTTAGCCCACAACAAAGAGAAGCAACTGTGCAATTGGCATTCATTCCCCCACTCCTATGTGATAGCAGAGGTAAACATTTCACTTTTGTGACTCCCAGATTTCCTGCCATTATTCCTCCTTTCATTGTTCTCTCCTGATATTCAGATCAAAAGGATATTTTCATAGCAGCCTTTTCTAGAGAGCTGGGTGTAATATATCCAAAGTAAAATAATTTGACCTCATTATTTGTGCTTCAAGTGAGAACTCTGGGTTGACTTGTAGTTTTCTTGCTGCCTGTGGTACTTAAGACCAACACCAAAGATCAAAAGCATCAACAATCTACCTCTCTTGCTTCAGTTCAACTTTCACTTCCATAAAGTGTCACAGGAAATATCATGGCTTTGCACTAATTAAACTGGATTCAAAACCTCAGTCAGCAGAAGGCTCACGAACTAGTCTGAGTACATCATTCTAATCTAATGTGCTGTGAGGACTGTAAAAATACAAAGAGGGCTGTATTACATATAGGTAGTCCTTGCAATCACAAACAATTTCTATTTCTAAGCAAGGCAGTTATTAAATAAGTTGCACTCAGTTTTACAATCTATTTTATTTTATTTTGGGGGGGTCATGAGGTTGCTAAGTGAATCACTGCAGTTAAGTGAATCTTGTGCTTGTTAAGTGAAACCAGCTTCCCCCATTGACTTTGCTTGTCTGAAGCCAGGTGGGAAAGTCCCAGATGGAAATCACATAACCCTCAGATGCTGCAACCATTGTAAAGACATGCTGGTTGTCAAGTGCCCAAATTTGGATGCTGTGACTGGAAATGCTGCAATACTTTTAAGTTGTACTTCACCTTTTTTAGTGCCACTGTAACTTCAAACTGTCGCTAACAAATGGTTGTAAGTCGAGGGTGACCTGTATATGCTTTTTAGTTTCAAAACATAAATGACTAAAAATAAGATTCAAAATATCAAACCTGCTAACTCCCCTGAGACTGGAGCCTGTGTAAAATAGTAGTAGCACACCTGCTAATATTGCAATTGCTTGTTTGAAAAAAGTTTACATTGCAACTTAATCTCTGTTTACTTACCTAGAAAAAAAAATCTTACTGCTGAATAATAAGAGATAAGAAAAGAAATGATGAGGGTGCCATTGCACTATATATTCATTATGCAAGAAGGGGGAAGCCTTACATCAGGGGTCCCCAAACTTGGCAACTTTAAGACGTGTGGACTTCAACTCCCAGAATTCTCCAGCCAGCTGGCTGGAGAATTCTGGGAGTTGAAGTCCACACGTCTTAAAGTTGCAAGTTTGGAGACCTCTGCCTTACATTCTCTCAAACTTTATGAAATCAACGTTTTGAAACCTTAAGCCACTCATATAATCATTGATTTTTGCTGCAACCATTAATCATCAAGATATGATCCTCACTGTAAGTGCACATTTGTAATTTTCACGGTAAATTTATTATCAGTCCAGCCAGAAAACATAAATTCTGCAAAACATACAATTTAAATCCACTCACCTTGCATGCTTTGTGCAACTGAGAGAATGCACCTTTTGTTAGCAAGATAGAATTTAGTGATGAAACATTTCATAAAGAACTACAAGAATTAATTGAGTGACATACATTATACAAGGAAAAGAAAACATATCCCCCAAAATAGGGCTCAAAAGAAAAAAAATAGCTCAGTATCCTTGGTTACACCACATTTCCAACCATCAGATATATTTATGAATTCAAAACAGTTAGAAAATCAATGTTCAGTGCTGTGATCACAAGCATGTGGTTTCAAAATAGTAGATAGATCAGCACAGTGGGGGACAATTCCTTGGAAAAACTCTACAAGCAGGGGTGGGATTCAAATTTTTTAACAACCGGCTCTGTGGGTGTGGCTTAATTGGTGGGCATGGCTTGGTGGTCATGGTATTGGCTGGGCATGGCCAACTCAATATCACTCACATCGAGGCACACATCTCCTCGCCTGGCCTCTCATGACTGTGGGGATGTTGCAACAGTCGTAAGTGTGAAAAATGGTCATAAGTCACTTTTTCAGTGCCATTGTAACTTTGAATGGTCACTCCACACAAGTAAAGTACCAGCAAAAGAGGGGAAAAAAACTCCAGAGAAGTTCCTGAGACAGGAAGTCTAATCCTGTCAAGAAGGGTTAACAGAGAGGCAGTTTCTGTAAGCAACACCAGAATGTTTCCTTCCTGCCTTCCTTACAGGATTAGGCCAATAATTGCTTCTAACAACGGGTTCTCTGAACTGCTTAGATTATTAACAACCGGTTCTAGCGAATAGGTGCGACTTGTAGACTCCTGTCTACAAGTCACTCTAACCCAGGGATATCAAATTCAGGGCCCATAGCCAAATGCGGCCTGCAGGGTGCTTAGATGTGGCCTGCAGGGCCACCCTGGAAACAGCTAAGGACTGGCCCATGGCGCCTCTGCCAGCAAAACGGAGCTCGGAAGGGCCATGCACTGAGCTGTTTTTGGCTGCAATGGCCTGCAGGTGCTCTGCCAGCGAAAATGGAGCTCAGGAGTGCTGCGTGGCAGAACACTGCAGAAAGTCGTCACAGCTGAAAATGGAGCCTGGGAGGGTGCCCCCAACAAGAGTAACATCAAACTGGCCACACCCAACTCGGCCACACGCACCGGGCCACGGAGTTCAAATACAACCCTGATGCAGCCCTCAATGAAATTGAGTTTGACATCTGTGCTCTAACCCATTCTTTCTAAAGTTTGGCAACTTTAATTTACATGGGCCAACTCTCAGAATTCCCCACACAGCTTAAACTTCCCAAAGTTGAGAAAAACTGCTCTCACCATTATATCTGAATATTCAACCATGTCCATTGTTTTGATTCTTGTGAGCTACTGTCTACCAAAAAACAGCACACAATTCCTGTGCGGTTTCATTTGATACAACAGTGGGATTGGCAAAAATGCCACTAGTGACCAAGTATGCAATTCCGTGCTGCTGTATACTCACAAACTGCAGTGGAATATGCATCATCAGGAGAAATTGGGGAGAGTTTTGACAACTGAGAGCTTTCTCAGAGAGAGGACCAGATTAAACAACTGCACAATCCTGAGTTGGATGAGGAAGGAAGAGGTTCAGGGTAGTCACGCCCTAGAATCTCTCAGGAAATTCATAGGGTTATAGCTTTAGTTTCGCAACTTTGTCTCTATTAAGTATAAGCAAGCAAAGGATTGAACTCGCTTGGATTTTGCTGTGTCACAGGTAACTCAATACTACTCTAAACCTTTACAAGTAGCTCTGTTATTCATTTCATTGAGAAGCTTTAGTTGTTCATTTAATAATGTCTCAAGTGTTCTCGGTGGCTATCCCCTTTAAAGCAGAGAGCCTAGTTTCAGGAAGCTTCACATACTAATTGTGGCTTGCTTAAATGTAAGAGCATTTAGAAACTGATCATAATCAAAATAGGTACAAACTAAGGTATATGTAACTACATGCCTGTCAATTTGCCATCAATAAATGAGAAGATTCTAGACCAAACATAACGTGGTCTACGTGAAAACATTTTGAAAGAAACAGTTATAAATCAGTTCAGATTTGTCAAAAAGTCAAATTAACTTTATCTCATATTTTAGTTGAGTAATTTCCTTAATAAATTGTGGAAATATTGTACATCATGACATTCTGATTATTCAACTAATTAGATAATAGGGGAATGGCATGACACTTAAAAAATATGTAACTGGTTCCAAAACCATAACTCAATTTCTTGTTGAAGATTCCTTGTCAAACTAAAATTTATAAAAATAGATGGTAGGAACTGGAAAAGTTTTAATCTTAAGAAAAAAATGTATAGGAATGTTTCAAATATGTGCAATGATGTAATATAGAGAAGGCTACATCTGTTCTTTAGAGCACATGAGACAAAATAATGGATTTAAGTTATCAAAAGAAAGATTCTGATTGCTTTCTAACTTTTACTTATTTATATATTTATAGCCTGCCTTTATTTTTATAAATAACTCAGGCTGGCACACATATCTACTATTCCTTCCTCCTCCTATCTGCAAATAGGGCAATTCAATATTTAAATCAATTACCCATTGATATAGTGGTTTTCCCTGACTAGATTGTTCAAGCAGAGGCATATTTATCTATTTGGAATGTTTAATTTAGATTCAGCAAAGAGTTGGACTGTATGCCTAAGTGGCCCCTTCTTATCAACTATTAATAAAATATTTATTCTTCCTTGATATTCTCAAATACTTCAGTCAAGGGAATGATACAGAAATCCAACACAGAAAAATGCTTTGTTTCTAATTTAATATACCCTCTTTTCCAAAAAGAGTGACTCCATATCCTTCCCTGTCATCCCAGAATCTATATATGGGATGACTGTATATTATTGGTCCACTCTGTTCTACTAAATTTTAAGTATGTTTATATTTTATTTTGACATCCCTCTGTCAACTTTGGTACAATGTTTAAGACAGTTCTTAACTACATATATTTCTGGAACGTGAATTCCTTACAACACAAAACAAAAAAAGTAAAAATACCAAGCCGATTTTGACACCTGTGACTTCCTGGAGAAGGCCCTGAACTTTTCTTGCCAAGATTTCAGAAATGGCTTGTCCTTGCCTGCTTCCTACAACTGAGAGAAAGAGACAGGCCCAAGGTCACCTTGCTGGCTTTTTGCCCAGTGTGGGACTGGAACTCATGGTCTCCTGGTTTCTAGCCTCACACCTTAACCACTACACCAAACTGACTTTCTTTTTCCTGAGGGGCAAATTAAAAATTTGCTCTGAATGGTTTGAGTGTGAGAGTTTGGTACATATATACAACTTCCTAAAATTGCAGTTTGTCTTTCTGCATATACAGTTTTAAAACTAAGGGAATAGACCATACAATGTAGTCATCTACTGGCTGTGTTCATCCAAAAACATAACCCATGGTCCATCTAACCAGAACAAACCACAATTACCTGGATTGACACACCACAAGCTATAAGAATCATGGTTTGCTAACGGTGGTTCAGTTCACATAACATACCAAGAAAGAAAAAACAAGCAATCACATTTTGGTTCAGCATACTGTGTGAACCCACAGATGTGTCAACTTCCATTCATATTATTTTTAGGCCCTTAATATTTTCTCATATGTTCCAAGTTAAAAGCCTGATCAAAACCAAATTTAATTGCGACAGCGATCTTAGTAGAACTAGAAAGCACAGGCTATTGATCCCACAAATAAATCAAATTCTCCAACTCTCTGAAAAAAAACAGCTTCCTGCATTTTGGGGCATAAATCTATACCATGTGAATTGCTCCCAACGAAGTATTCACAGGATTCGTCAAGAAATTATGAAGGCTCCACTTTACCTGTTTCTCTGAAATGCGGGTTTTTTTCATCGGCCTTCTCAGGTTTGCAACGCAACCTATTAGTTGTGGAATACGGTCTTTTAGCAGCACGTGCAACCGAAAAAATGCTCTTGTCCAACCTCCTGACAATTTTGCCTGGACGAAAAAGAAGCAGGCGTGTTAAATTAAAGGCGAGAAATGAAGTAACTCAATCGCTTGGCTTCCGATTCCTCTAGCTCGAAAGATCGGGTAAATTTTACGGGACCGAGCGGAAAAGAAGGGGCTCCGTTTTCTAAGGAGAGAAAACCTAAAAGCTGCTTAGCAGCCAACAGAAGCACCCACCAACAGCCAAGGATAACTCAGACATGATCGCAAACCGTCCTTGGATTTCCGCGATCCGACTTTGAGTTTCCGGCCTTTCCGCTCTCCGGCTCCCAGCCTCTTCTTCGTGTACTGGCTCGACGGCACCTCTCTCCCCTTGCCAAGCGGGAGTGGTTGGGTGGCTGAGGCCGACTAGTGGAACCAGCGCGAACTTCAAATAAAAGCGAGAGTGGAGCGCAGGGAGGAGGAGAAGGATTGCTCCTTAGGATAATATGGATTTCTGCTGCTAGCTTCATTACTCTAGAAACTATTTTTATGTTAACTTTAATGTGATAAAATGTCTACTATTTCAGGGGTGGAAATAATTTTCATTGCCCTTTGGGGCTTTCCTAGAGTTAATTCATATTTTCTTTAATGTGATGCCAATATATTATGATAAAAATACAGTATCAACATGTTCAGATTGGTTCTTTCACTGGAAAAGGTAAAATATAGCCTTGAGACTAGAATGCTGGATCTAGTGTGGGAAGGGACCAACAAAAAATCTGGGATTGTAATAATAGCCCATACAAGTTGGTCATCAACCAGAAATAACTGCTTTTTATAGTGGCATAGAATTCCTAGACTGGACAATCCCTCTTACTGCCTTATATGTTACTAAAAGAATCTGATGACTACCTTAAATGCCTGCATTGTTAGTAGATATTTGGCCTCTCATTTTTCCATGATAGAGAATCACAGAGCCCATCCTCATTTGCACCTAAATAAAATACAAATACACCCTGGCAGCATCTTATTTCTGCCATACCCATAAAAATAATGTAGGCTTAAGAAGTCTTTTGTAACCACTCCCTCCTTCAAGCCAACAACAGCTGTAAGGTGACTGTATAAGATACCTTTTACCCACTTTTACATCAAAGAAGAAGTCAGGTGACCAGCACCAAGCAGCATTTATTGGTTTTTCCTGCGGATACATCTCCTCTCCGCTGGTTCCTGGTCCAACTCAATTGCCCTCATAATACTGTTGTTTCCTTATAGAGTTGGACTCAGTAGCTCTAAGCCACTGTCTAACCCAGCTGAGGGTCTATAACTTTTGCCTGTTTAGTGCAAAACTGAAATATAGAACCATGAGTTTATGAGACCTCACTCCATCACTTTGAAAACAGAGATCAAAAGAATCTGGAAATTGATGCCTAGAAATTATTCTTCACCAGCTGTAAGGGCTGCATATTTACAAGCCTGGCAAGATTTTTGATAATGGAATAAACAATACTTATCTGGAGGAATGTGAAGATATATACTGAGTTATATGCATCTACCCCATGTCTACCAGAGATTTAAATGTGAAAACAAGGGAGATGTCTGATTAAAGTGACCCCTGAACATTATGATACATGATTGAATTTATAAAGGGGAATGTCTCCTGGGATACAGAAATGTAGATCTCTAGCTGATGGTATCTATAGCATGCCTTCTTTGCCTAATCTAATATATGACAGGCTGAAATCTCTGGGGAGAAGCAGTCCCTCAGATAAACTGATCTCATGCCATAAAGGGGTTTTAAATTTATTTTATTTATTTATTTGATTTGTCAATCACTTACAAGATAATAGATATAAGTATAAACATGAGTAAGAATACAGAAACAGGTACAAATAAATGGGGACAGGGACAGTAGGCACAATGGTGCACTTATGCATGCCACTTACAGACCTCTTAGGAATGGAGTGAGGTCAATAGTGGTTAGTTTGAGGTTAAAGGAGTGGGGGTTAGAGGATGTAACAACAAGTCAGGTAGTGCATTCCAGGCATTGACCACTCTGTTGCTGAAGTTGTACTTTCTGCAATCAAGTTTGAAGCGGTTTACATTGATTTTGTATCTGTTGTGTGCTCTTGTATTGTTGTGGTTGAAGCTGAAGTAGTCATTGACTGGAAGGACATAGTAGCAGATAATTTTAATGCTTAAGTCTAACTGTAGGTGGCATAGTTCAAGGTTGTCCAAGCCCAAAATCTCAAGCCTGGTGATATAGGGTATTCTGTTGCGAGCAGAGGAGTGTAGTACTCTTCTCGTGAAATATTTCTGGACTCGCTCGATTGTATTAATGTCTGATATGCAGTGCAGATTCCAGACTGATGAGCTGTATTCAAGTATTGGTCTGGCAAAAGTTTTGTATGCTTTAATTAGCAATTCGATATTTCTGAAGAAGCTTCGTAAGATTAGATTTACAACTCTTAATGCCTTTTTGGCAATGCTGTTACAGTGAGCTCTGGCACTTAGGTCATTTGATATGAGAACTCCAAGGTCCTTGACAGAGTGAGGATCATCAACAAGGTCATATCTGCCTGGTTTGTATTTGGTGTACTGATTTTTTTTACCAATGTGTAGGACAGAGCATTTGTTGGTCGAGATTTGGAGTTGCCAGATGTTTGACCATTTAGACACATAATCAAGGTCGCTTTGAAGGATAGTAGTATTATCAGTGGTGTTGAATAGTGTTAATTGTGTTTTAATAATAATTTAAAAATAGTGTTTTAATAAATTGGGTGTCACAGTGCAAATCCACCACTTATGTACAACCTTGGGGGATTGGACTAAAAGCCCTCCAAGGTCCCTTCCAGCTCTATGATTCTACCTCAGATTGAAGAAACAGCTCCTAAATTGGGGGATTCCTCCAGCTTGGGAGATGCATCATGCACAGAAGTAGCCTCTCTTTACTCAATTTGTATTGAAATTGTCTCTTTTCCCTTCCCACAGAGTCGTCACTGTCATTGATAGGATTCCCTCAAAGAAGGCAAATACACCTTAAAGGACATCAGCAACCTGAAAGAATATGCCGGGGACCCCAGTCTCACTAATGATGCTCTATTTCCTTACCACCATTGATGCCACCCTTCTCCGAAACAAATGACACACAGGCACTATAGGTAGGGATGGGATTCTACCGGTTTGGACTGGTTCAGGCAAACCAGTCTGAGCACACTCACCGTGCAAGCTCACCAAACTGGTTGTTACACCGATTGAATTGCACAGATTATAGGTAAACCACGGTTGTGACTGGGATTGCTATTGTGTGTGGTTATAAAACAAAAAGTCAAATGACTGCACCAACTTGCAAAAGCAACTCCCCATTGCAGTTACAAACCAAGAATCATTGTTTACCACAAACCCTAGATCAAGCCAAGCCATTCTTTGTGTCATCCAACCACAAGCTTTGGTAAAATTTTTGAAGGCTTCATTGGTGGAGGGTGGCCAAAGAGGAAGACATGGAGGGAGATAAGCAGGTGTGGGAAGTTGTAGCACCCCTGTGGTTGTAAGTACAGGTAGGTTGCCAAGCTCTGGGATTTTGATCATGTGTACAGTGGCCAGAACATCAGTGCCCAACTAGCTTTTAAGGAGAAGTTTAACTTTTGACAAGGTTTCTTTTAAATAACTATTATCCCTAAAAGTCCATTTCTTATAGCCGTTTGGAATGGTGCATTTCAACCTCTCTTCAGTCTCCTTTGTGGCATGCCCTGGTTCGCACATGGCTTCAAGATCGGTTGCATGGACTAAATGAGCTATTTTTCCTAACCGGCTTGCCTAAACAAGAGCTTCAAAACATCCCAAGAAAGCTGCTCCGAGAAAAAGACCGGCCGCAGGTCTTGGTTTTCATCTCCAACGCGGCTGCTGTTGCTTTTTAAAATAGGTTTGAAGCACTACTTGACGAGTTCCAGATCTCTAACCACCTGCATCCAGACGCTCCAGGCCATCAGTCCCAGGGAGCAGCTGAAAGCCCAGCGGCCAGCACAATAGACGCCCGGCGACTTCCGGCCCGGCTCGGGATCCCGCGGAAGCAGGCTCTTGGCGGGGCGAAGGAGCAGGAGGGGGCGGGTCTGCCCCCATCACGCCTTCCAATTGGCTGCGTTGAGACCTTCCAACATGGCAGCGCCCGGCTCCGGTCTAAATTGCGAGGACTTCGCTGAGTTTCAGGTACGGAGAGGAGGAAAGCGAGGCTGGTGGAGCCCGGCGTAGAGGCGCCCGGGACGTTTCCCTCCCCGCGGTCGGCTGGCACGCGCAGATTCGCCTCCCGATGTGGAGCTGCTGCGCCTCCTCGCTCTCGGGAGTACCTTTGCTCGCGCCGTAGAGGGGGAGCGGAGCGGGCGAGGACAGCAACGTGGAGCAGACTTCGAGAGATGATTCTTCACGCGTGGAAGGCTCGTTTTGTGGGGGGGGGGGGGGGGGGGGGGCTTGAAGGAGGGCCGGGTTCCTGGTTGCTGTAAAAGGTTTCCTTTGCCCAGCACACCCGACAGCCGTGCACGTGCGTGGAGGGATGCCTGCCTGGGTGTAGTGTCTTCGAGGTTTTAGAAACGCTCTTCCTTGTAGTTTTCTCTAAAATAGATCGGCATTACTGCATTGCACGAGGGAAGGAAGAAGTGAGAGGGTGAATGTTTTGCCTCTCCGGAGGACCTTGGGGATCCTTTTTAGAAAGCTGAATGTCAATCAGAACCTTCCTTTGTCCCGCGAAAAGGAAAGGGTCAAATGGCAGATAATAGGAGGTGGGAGCTGAGAGACTATCGGGTACAATGAGCGGCAGAATAAAGCATGGACAAATTCTGAATCGAAATAGAATAGACCAAAGAGGGGAAGAGTTAATTTACACATTTCTTTTTGTTATATTTCTGTAATAATTCTTATGGTAGCTTCAATATAATTTTAAAGTATTGCAAAGGCATAGAGAATGTAATCTTGCTCTTTTCATTCTGTTATTTTAACCATATTGAAAGGGAGAACGGGTTTGAATAGTTTCCCCTGAATGAAAAGGTTGGACTGGAGCAGGAATGGTGGTCTCTTGAGGTAGAATAACAACATTAGGAAAGTGAACTATCCTGGGAGCAGACATCCTTTTCTTTAGTATGAAAAGAAGTCTCTGTAGCATTCCGATGCTGCTTCAACACAATACCACAGACATCAGTGCTGGAGACAAACATGTCATTGCTGGTGTTCCACTGCATTTTGTTGGTCGCTACTGTTACTTAGAGTAGCGAGGAATATTAGGACAAGACCTGGAATGTTGGCCTCTTTAGATGAAAATAGGCATGGGATTGCAACCATTGCCCTTAGAAGTAAATACAGGTAATACTACTTTAGCTACCATAAATGGAACCAGCAACTCCATTATTAAGGGAAGTGAACACTAAGTAAAACTATGAATGTACTTACAACCTTATTTCAGCTTTACAGGTGGTAAACATGAAGATCAATTGCAAACTTTTTCAGCACTGTTGTTGTAACTGTGAAGAATCACTAAACATGGTCTATTTGTTGAGTGTAATGGGATAAAAGGGCTAGCCAGGATAAAAATGGGAATTATGACTGTTGAAACCAGAATAACTCAGTTCTGTTACTTTATTTTGTGGTCTAAAAGTTAATTGTGTGAAGCATAGCAGAACAATAAAAGTTAAGCCACATTTGGGTTTACAGTTACTGTAATGGCAAAATACTGCATTAATTACAAATTCAGAATTGATCCCAGAACCAGTTGTGAATTGCTTTGAGACCCTCTAGCGCAGAAGTGTCAAACTCGCGTCATCAGGGCGACATCAAGTGACTTCCTGTTTGCTAAACAGGGTATGGCAAGTGCGTAATACATCTGGCCCACGGGCTGCGAGTTTGACCGCCCTGCTCTAGCATTTGGTTGTTTTCACCAGTTGAACAGCCCGTCATAGTAATAGCACCCTAGTGCTATACTGGAAGTAACAAAGAATGTATCCCTTCAGGAGTACTATTTGTATAGGTGCATGGTAATTATTTTTCCTATTCCTGTTTTGCATTACCAAAATTGACTGGATAAGGTATTATTTTTGGAGAATTTCCCTTCTAGATTTTTATTTGTTTCTTGGATTTCAAGGCACCTGACTCAAAATGTCAGCTTACAATTTTAAAAAGTCTATATTTTTTAAAAAAATGAATACAGACCCATGGACACAGCCACATAAAAAGCAACCTCCGTGAACCCAGAAGAGATGACACTGATCTTATTTGTAGCTAGAGACTCCCTTCTCTGTGAATGTGAATGCCTAGCTATTATACCAGCGCACCCCAAACTTGGGTTGGGTAAAAGTGGTTTTTCTTGGATAATGACATATAAGCACATTCACAGAGGACATTTAGATTAACTTAATGTTTAATCTAAGTTGGATAAAAAGGACTTTCTGATAAGTGCTTTTGGTAATGAAGGAAAAAGTTTGGGAAGCATGGCATTATAGTGTCTTACAAAGATAAGCTGCGTGTCATCCTGATGATCCTGCTGCTTAGTGGGATCCTTCTCCAGACTTCTTGATCCTGTATCTCAGTTGAATCTTGATCCTGTATCTCAGTTGGAATCACTTCGAGGGTTGGGCAGTTTACATCCCCATTGATAGTAGACCTCCAAAAGCTAATTAAAATCAATTTATTTCAGAGGGCTTTGAAGTGAATTGTGACATTGTGTTTACAATTTTAATTTTATTTTATGTTTAATTTATTGTGGATGTTTTGTTGTGTTTTGAAGTTGTTGTAAATCAGGGCAATGATTTATTGTAAATTCAATAAATGGGTAAAAGAGTGAGTTGTATGAGAATATTTCCATGTTCAGCTAAGGTAACATGAGGGTGGGGAATTCACTCCTGCTTGATGAGAACTGAGTTAGGAAGACAGCAGCTTCAACAGGAGCTAGGTTACTATCATTGAATGTCTGTCTCAGGTTTGGTTGGATGGACAATATAAGTGATTGTTCATGGATTTTAACTATTTCCCTCCCTTTCTGAGAATATTAGCGCACACATGGAAAATGAGATGTCCTGAAATGGAGAGGTAGGGAGAGGAGGCATCGTAAATAGAATAAGAGAAGAAGAGGGCATCAACAAGCAGAGGATATAAATGGATTGGGCATCATGTATACTCTGATGACATGCACCTCTGTTTCTCCATAATATATCCATGTTCAGTCAGATTTATTTGTGAGAAAGCATGTCCACACAACATCCTAAACCACAAATCAGGCAATTAATGTACTCTATTGTGTTAAGTAAATAGCCAATGTAGATAATTTATAGTTCAATGCATTATACAGACTGAATGAGTAAATCATGGCTAGCTTAACCCTGAGAAACGTACTTTGTAAATACAGTAATAGAATTGTAGGATTGGAAGGGATCTTGGAAGTCTTCTACTGCAAGTCACAACTCAGTGGAAGAATCCTCAGACCATCCCAGAAAAATGGCTGTCTTGTTTGAAAATCTCTGGTGATGGAGCACCCATTACTCCAGGAGGCAGTCCTTTAGTTGGAAGACTGCTCTTGTGTCTCCACTTCTCTTTAAGTGAAATATACTCTATTTCTTTAACCATTCTTCACAGAATTTAGCCACAAGCCCCTCACTATCTTTGTCACTCGTCTGTGTTTTTTTTCCAATTCCTCAGCATCTTTCTTGTATTATGGAAAAAGGGTGGAACAAGATGTATTCCAGTTTGTTGAATTCCAGGTCAAATATACATTTAAGATAATGAAGTTATTGTAGGCATTAAAACATACTCCCACAACTTAATTTGCTATTCTTTTCATAGAAGGAATCAAATGACCTGTCCAGTAAAAGGCATCACAAAATTTTCAAGTGTAGACAGTCATTTTTGTTGACTATGGCTTTTGATCTGGAGATTCCTGCCCTGAGCAAGGTTTAGACTAGAAGACTTCTAGACTTCCTTTCAATCTTATGATCTATTATAGTAATCTGGCACAACCAACATGAAAAATACTCTGCAAGTTTCTAGGAATTTTAAATATGTGATTCAAAAATATATTACCTGATCTGGTTACTAACATACTGTTTATTTCTTTTAATTTAAAATTTGCAACATTAAGTCTAAGTTTTTCCTCCCCTGCCCCCTCCCACCCAGGAATTGCTCAGGGTAACAAGACAAATTGATGACAGAATAGTCCATGAATTAAATACTACAGTTCCAACAGCTTCTTTCGCAGGAAAAGTTGATGCTAGGCAAACTTGTGAAGAACTTCATCATTCGGTAAATATATTTGTCCTTCCTCTTCATTGCTTTTTTCATTTAAAATCTGATTTTGTTTTCACCAGATGTTATGATTATTGGCAATTTATAGTGCTATAGATCTGGGAATGCCAACATTTAGGTGACCACTAGATGTCAGCAAAGGTTGAGAATTTTCTGTAGTTCTTTGCTGCCATCTAGCTGTTTCTTGCAGTTCATATCTGCTGGCCTTTTTAATCATAAGCATGTACCAGTATTGTTCTTTCATTGTTCTTGTCACCAATTTTCCTGCTTGTGTCATATACAATAAAAGATACTTATCTCAAATAGGAGACAGAGATTATTGTACTTCTTTCTCCTCCATAGTACTATATAATATAGGATCTGTGGCAATGCTGTTCCTTCCAAACTCCCTCTTGTTTGTGTATCATTTTAACTCTGCCAATTTAATTTGTATCCTGCTTTTAATTATTTAAGTACATTTATATACAAAAATATATAAAGATAACTGTACTTCTGTCTTATTTTATTCAAAACAGATCTTATAAAGTTAGTCATATTATGTTGTATAGTTATTGCTAATGTTAAGTGTATTTAACACTATAAGAATACACACACACACACACACACACACACTGATCCAGTGTGGCTTGATATTTTTTATTTCCAGGCTAGGACAAGAGAGAGTGACTGGTTCAAAGTCACTCAGTGGCTCTCATTCCTAGGGGAGATCTAAAACCTGAGTCTCCCCAATCATAATTTTGCATTTTAACTTCCCCATACTAGTTTTTATATAAATTGGCACGTGCACTATTGGCAGATAGCAATTATTGGGGTTTTTTTTCAGCCTCAAGTAAATTATTACTTTTGTATAGGTATGGAATGTGTCTCAAGAAAAATGGCTTTGGCAATTTTGTAGCTCCCACAGGTCTCAGCTCAGATTTTTAGATCAATTAATATTATAGCCAGAAAGGGTTTTAAAAACCACCAATTAATTATACTGATTTTGGTGCATGAGCCTCAGGTTTGTCTGTACATGCAGTAGACCTAATCTATATTAGTTTTTCTTATTGCACAGGCCAAGAGGGTTTGTGCCCCAAATTAAACTATAAAATAAAACAGGTTGTTGTGTTTTCCAACAGAAAAGACTTAGCCAAAATCCTTTTGCTCCTCATATGTCTACTTGGACGTATGAGGAGCAAAAGGACTTGTGATTCATTTTAAAAATTCCTGGGACTATTATTTCATTGTAAGAATACACAAAGCAAACAAAACAAATATTTATAGTGGACTTGGCACCAGGGAATAGGCCAACCACAATAAAAAGTAACAAGTAAAACCAACAACAGTGCTATGCATGCTACTTATATTCCCGAGTAGAAGTCAAGGTATAAATCTAATAATAAATAAAATATTCATGACATAAAAGAAATAAGCAAATAGGCATTGAGAGTTTATCCACCAACCTGCTGTTATTTGTTAATGTCCTGCCCTCAGAGAAATATGCTACTTTACAAAAGTAGCAATCCTACTGTAGTAAGTTAGCCAAAGAGACTGTCAAATCCTTATCTGTGAAAAATTAGTATGGATATGACAAGCTTTCTAATATCTTTGCACGTCAATTTGCAACAATCTCAGATAATTAGAGTTGCCCCAACATGCTATTCCTTTTACATCACTACTCGGGTCAGGCCGAAGGAAATACTCATCTGTTACCTGAAGCTGTTAGAGTTTGGTTGGGACAAAATGGACTGAAACTGAACTCAAACAAAATGGAGTTGATGTTTGTTTGGGAGATTCTTTGCCAGCTCCATTTATAATTCTGGATGGGGTGTTCCACTTCTTGAAGGAGCAATTATGCAATCGGGGTTCTTGCTATAACTAGATTAGGCAGGTAGAGGTGGTGACCAGAGAGGCCCATTCATGCACATATTGCCTCACAATGTCATATAAAAGGCTGCTTTGAAGAATACTGGAAGCTGAAGTTTGTGCAAAATGTGGAGCTCACAGTCATCACATCCACATAACGTCAGTGCTGTAAATCCTGCATTTGGTTCTGAATGCAATTCAAAGTGACATCTAACATCCTAGATGGCTTGGCTCCTAAGTAACTTTGGGGCTTCCTCCTCCTCCAAGTGGAATCTACATTGTGGTACATGTTCCCCAACAAAATCCATTAACAGTTCTCCATTACTAAGACATTACTCCATTACTAAGATGGCACAGACTCACAAACATTATTTTTTTGTTGCAAACCCTATGTTACGGAATAGCTCCTGAGATCAAATCAGCACATATCTTAATTGCCCTCCATAAGCAGGAAAAGTAGCTTTTCCAGCGAATATTTGAGGAGATGAGGAAGTTAATGTATTGTTTTATTATATTGTATTGTTTTATTGTTGTAGACTGTCAGTAGCCAGTACAGATTACAGCTGAATATTATAAACATTGAAAACAATATATTTTAACATGTAATACAGATACAAGATTCTGATTTAGTTACAAAAGTGCTTTGAAAGTTATGGGGGTACAAACCTACCAACTTTCTGCAACCCTTTAAAACTGCCTTTCTTTTCCCTGGATTGGGCAACAGCCAAGAAGGTGACACCATCCTGCTAATCAGGACAATGGGCATCATGTTAACTTTCTTTTAAGTACAGTATATTGATGTAAGCTTCATTAAGAGATACCAGCACAGTACCAGAGTCAATTACATTCTAATAGAAATTTAAACAAAATATCCATATTTCTATTATATCCTTTTTCTTCATATTATTGAGTCTTGATATTTCTCCAAATATGATCAAGTATATCAGTGGTTCCCAAACTTTTTCGGTCCACTGCCCCCTTGGTGCTACAAACTCATCCTCAGTGCCCCCCACCCAGGCGTGGGACTCAAATTTCTGTGGGTGTGGCCTAATTTGGGGGTGTGGGTTGCTGGTCACATGACTGGGTGCATGTGGCTTGCTGGTCATGTGACTGGGTGGGCATGGGCATGGCCAGGTGACTGGCAAACCAAATACAAGGGGTCCTCACTTAATGGCCGGTTGTTTAGCAAGTGTTCTAATTTATGAGTGGCCTCTCCAGAGCTACTTGACCTGTTTTTGGAGTTTTGACAGCTTTAGATCAGGGGTCTAAATCCCACCCCTGCCTGTGTGTGTGAGAGAGAGAGTGTGAGAGAGAGGTTGGATCAGATCTCTCTCACTCTCTCTCTCTCCCACCAACGCCAGAAAGCCACCGTCAGTCAAAATTCATATTAGTGGTCTCCGGGATTTAAAATTATGAGTTTGGTGGTCCCTGAGGTCCAAAAGTTTGGTGACCCCTGATCTAAAGGGGTGAGCCTGAGAGAGGCAAAGAGAGAGAGAAAAGAAAAAGAGAGAGGAAGAGAGGAAGAAAAGAAAGAGAAAAGGGAAAGAAAGAAAAAGGGACAGACAAAGAATGGGGGATGGAAGGAAGGGACAGAAAGAAAAAGAAATAAAGGAGGGAGGGAGGAGAAAGATAATGAGATATCTATTCTAGTCCAATCACTTGCTCCAGCAGGGTTACAAGGGAGTGTGTGTGTGTGTGTGTGTGTGTGCTCGTAATTTACCAGTACATTTTGGTTTTGCCTTCTTCAGAATTGGCACTATAATACTGTACATTGGGGAAAAGTAATTTTTAGGGTGGAGATCTAGTCCAATGGATCCTGTTTAAAGCCTCAACAAAGTGTGAGAGCTTCCTGATAGTCTTGACCATGTTTCATCCACAAAACCTTGAATAGAAGCCAAAGATGTTTCAATGTGGAAAAGGGCCTCAGTCTAAACTAGGCCTCATTCAATCTGATGCATTAGGTCTCGCTCTCTTTCTTTTTCTCTCTCTCCCTCCCTCCCTCCTTCCCTCCTTCTCTCCCTCCCTCCCTCCCTACCGGACTGGCTTTGCTCTACTTTCCCGATGTGCCTGTGGGGCTAGCGCTTCGAACATGGATGGATGGATGGATGGAGAGAGAGAGAGAGAGGCAGGCAGGAAGTCAGGCAAACAGACAGAACTTTTGGATGGACGGACAGACAGACAGACAGAATGCAACAGCAGCGGCACTTTGGGAAAGCGGGGGTGGCAGCTTTTCCCAATGTGCTGCCACTTTGGAGGTGCTGGCTCCAGAGCAGTGTTAATCAATGGGTGAACCTGCAGGGCTGGCCGGCTCCTTGAACGCCCCCCTGCCGCCTCTTAGCGTCCCCAAGGGGGCCGGCAGAGGGGCGCTAAGAGGTGGCAGGGGTGGTGCATCGAACGCGGCCGCGGCAGCACATAACGTGCCACCGCTTCCGCATTGGAGGCACCGGCTCCGGAGCGGTGCTACAGTCAATGAGTGTCGGCACCTCGAATGCCCCCCTGCCACCTCTTAGAGCCCCCCCTGCTGGCTCCCTTGCCTTTTAGCACCCCACCCTAAGGCATCCCACCGCCCCCGAGGGGGTGGTACCACCCACTTTGGGAACCACTAAAGTATATGTTTAAGTTTTCAACCTAATTTTATTTTGTTAAGATGGAGCTGAAGTTCTTGAATTTTGTACATTTATATCTTAGGTATTTTATATGCTTTATTGTAAACCAACCATGTTGCTTTAATAATCAGTGACCACTGTTCTATCCAGCTTACTAAAGCTTTGCCATAAACATGTTGATGAAGTTTACTTTAGTGGAATGCAATACATGCTGCTTATACATGCCACTTTGCAACTCTTGGTTCTGGAAAAGGATCCATAGCCTATTGGGACAGTGGGAACTTTATATTTTGTGTTTGCTTTCCTCAAAATGCCCTTTCATTTTTCAGCAGCATAAGAAATAAATTAGTTTGCACATATCTTGTTCAGTAATTTGACAGTGCTAAACCTTTTTTATCTCAAAATATTTTTGAAGCAAAATAGCTATTTCCTCTTTGAAATTATTGTAATTTAGCCAGCAAAATGTCAATATTTTCACTTACAGAGGAATTCTTCAGTTACTAAGAAAGCCCTACTAAGATGTGCTCAAAATATTGCAGTTGTATGTTACATTCCATGGAAAATATTTTTGTTTTGTCCTGCATAATTGTCCTTCCAAAATCGATTTGTGAGATTTGATAAGCTTGCTATTAAGTTGTTATATAGCAGTATTCAGAAGCTTTTCATCTGGAATCTAAATGGAAGACATTTTGTTGTCATTATATTGACAAATGCTTGGAAGATAACCATCAAATCTTCAATTCCTTTAAATTCACGAGTTGTATTTTATTTACTTGTATAAGAAGGTGACACTTTCATCATCTCCATTGGTAGATAAAAGGAGGGAAAATGATGACCAAGAAAATGGAGGTTTTCTCTTGATTTCAGATTGCCTGCCTATTTAAGGTAGCTAAACACAGCATTAGTTATTGTCAAGTAGATCTACATAAATACAAATAGTCATCTATTTCACAGGCCTTGAAATAGGCAAAAGTTTGAACAGAGAGCATTGCAATTGAGTGTGCAGACAAATCAAGGAAAGGTTAAATGAAGCTCCTTTAGGACCCTTGCCACACCCCCTTTTCAAAGAAAGTGAGTGTAAGTGGTATTTTTAGAGGACAAGGGTTTTTCTGCTAACCACTTATTTAATAGCTACAGTATCTGGGTGAGCTATGAACAGAAAGTCCTTAGAATAATAAGAAGCTCTTGCTATGTCCATTACATGTGCATGGAAAGTGGTAATTTTATGAAAGCCTCTTCAAGTTCTGCTTTTATTTTACTTAACATTTAACTCATTATTGAACTGCTTTCTTATCTAGTTTTCTTTGTTTATATTTACTGTCTATTTAGTTGAAAGAAGCCCATGAAAGTAGGGAGAGAATAATCAAAAGCTGTATTGCCCAAACTTCTAATGTAGTAAAACTTCTTCAAGAAGAGAGGAAGAAATCTCCAGATGACATAACATTACTAAAGCAACTCAGGAAAGAGCAGACAAAAGTAAGTAGCAAAATTTGGTTGCTTTAAGTTCTATTATATAAAATATGATTGAAAATTGACTGTTCCAGTGGCACAGGAAAGTAAAATATGTAAAATTACAAAAATAGTTATCTGTGGTTTGACATTATAATCATCCTAATGCTGGAAAAGGACCAGTTCTCTCTAACAAATGTTTCTGTCATTAGATATTCTTCTATACCCATGTTTCACTGGAGAAAACAGATAGAAATAGAAATCATGAATTGACAAACTGGCTGTTGCAGATTGTATTATTAGATAAGGCAATGCCTTCTTCAGTTGAAGCTCAACACCTGGCATCTTCGTGGGCATATCTGCAATTTTCTCAGCCACAGTATGGACCAGCCATGTCATATTTCAGGATATTAGTTCAACTTCCCAGTTTCACCTTGAGCCCTGGGGGTTCATTCTAAGCAAGCCCGAGCCTGCTCAGCCAAGATCAGCTTGGTAATACAACAGGATTACTCGGGGGAAAAAAATGACCCTGTGTTCTACTCCTATCTTAGGTGCAAAGCCAATCACCCTCTCTCAACCATAGGAAACTACTATAGCAAACTATTTCCAAAAATGTTAGGTAAACTGCAGGGTCTGGTCCAAGTAGTTGCACGACTGTCTTGAAGGAATACACACAAACAGAAAGACAAAAATAAGGAATCTACCATCAGTACCATTTTCTCATATACTGAACAAAATTTATATATGCACACACACATATACACACAGTTTTATATTGTATTACATGTACAAGTATTCATGTCTTGTTAACCACACATAATTAAGTCTTGTTTATGGAAACTTGTACAAACAGATGTTCTATTGATTAATATAAATTAATAATTAAATTATTATTAATGTTTGCTAGCTGAAGTCAAACACAACTTGAAAGGAAAGCAAACATGAAAATTTAATCTATAAACCATTTTATACATCTAAATTTCTAAGCAGTCCTTGGGACGCTTATTTAGATATAGAAAAACAGGTGAATGGTGCAGACTCTTCTGTAATGATAGTACAGTTTGGAGATCCCATGCTCTATCAATTTTTTACATTTTTGTGATCTTAAAATGTACTGTATCCATTTCAACTGCCATCGGGTGGCTTCCCAAACATTTGGCATATTATCTATTGTTAAATAATCTGAGTATTGACAAAAGAAAAAAGGTTTCCTGAAACAGAACAAATTGTGAAATCATGTTTTGTCCAGAAGAGAGCAGTACAGGGCAAGGCGACTAACATACTTTGAGCACTGCAACTTCAACAGTGAGCTGGAGCCCTCAGTTTCTTCCTAAAGGGTTGCAGAGGGGTCAACTGGATAGAAAATAAGGCTCTACTAACTACTTTCCATATGAATGTAATTTCAGGCATCAGAATCTGCAAAATTTTTATAAGACAAATGTGAAATGATTTAATATACATTGCTACATTTCTGTTGATGTAATAAGACTGACATTCTTGTCTTGACTCACTAATATTAAAATTAACTGCAATTATTACCAAAAAAACCTGTTTTTTTTAACAGCTAATTAGGATGACACATTTATAATGTGTCATTATAAAGATACATATGTTGAATAAAGAATTTGTCATTGTGGGGATTTACGCCATCTATATGACAACATCATCACCCAGGTGATCTAATTATTTGTGTTATTGTATCATTATGCCACTGAAATAAATAGATTTAAATGATATAATTTGCATCATTTGATGACATCATTATGCAAATATTGTAAATCGCAGCAAAATTAAGTCTGCTGCACATAAAATGTTGCATTAAAGTTAAAATAACCCATTCAAAAGTATATTCTCTGATTTTGCAATTTTTCAGCTGGGCTGAAAAGAAAAAAGATTTTCTAATTTCTCACCAATATGAATTTTAGCTTTGTTCTCTTCTAAATGTCTATAAAATGCTTACTACTTCTAATATTTAATTCCTCAATATTTTACAATGAAATTCCAGTTTTTCATAGGAAGACTTATTTACTGAATGGTGAGAAAACTTGATTAAATGTTTTATTTTAATCTGTTTTAAGTATATTTTTAATATTTTTATCCAAATCTATTTTTATACAGTTTGTCTGCTTATGGTCAATCCCAAATGTCTTTAAAGCCTTTCTTCTTTTCTTTCTCTTGTAGTTGAAATTAATGCAGTCAGAGTTAAATGTTGAAGAAGTGGTAAATGACAGAAGCTGGAAGGTAAGGAACAGTCCTAATTTGTGAATTTTTGTCATACCATATTAAGGCTCTGATTGATGGGGGATGAAAGCTAGGAAGAGAACTACAGTTCAACTTAAATCCAAATATGAAAATCAAGTAGAAATACCTTACATCCAAAAAAAAATGCATACAAGTAGTCTTCAATTGTAATGGAGCCCAGAACTTCCATCATAAGTCATAACTCAAGACATCCATGTGACCAGTCTGATTTTATAACCCTTTTTGCAGCAGTCATTAAGTGAACACTGCAATTGTTAAACAAACACCACATTCATTAAGCAAGTCAATGCATTCCTATGGGCATTTTTTGCCAGGAACCAGCTGAAAAGGTTGATTTCTGACAAAAATAGTGTAGCAAATCCTGTCACATGAGCACAGAACTGCAACTGGCCATAAAGATCATGTAATTCCTGTCATGTGACCACAAGGATGCTGCCATCAGAACTTTGGAACAGTTCTGTTATAAAAACATTTGCCCTCCATGTGTGGAAATATTTTAACCAGTTATTTAACCCCTTTTATTCTGAAAGTTTACAAACCTGGACAACTAGATATCACTAGTTTTGTTTTTCTGAGCACATACATTTGGCTCTGATTACTGCTTTGAAGCACAGAAGCTAATTAAGTTTTTAGATATTTGGATCCATTCACATTTGTATCAATCAATTTTCTGTTTTGCTGTTTTAGATATTTAATGAACGCTGCAGAACTCATTATAAGCCCCCAAAGACCCAATAATGCAAATGCGGGGGGAGATTCCCCTGAAAGTGGTCTTCAGTCATGCAAATAAACTGGAAAAGAAACATGGAACAAAATGCATGGGACCTCTTGAAAACCCACGGGATCTATGAGTGATTTTGCTAATAAAGATCAACCAACTGTTAATTTGTACAAGATATTAGAAGAAAAAACATTAAAAATATTCAGATGGAATGTGATGTCACATACTTGGCCTCTTTTGATACAGAAGCAAATATACTTTACTTTTATCTACTCTCATATATCTGAAGATTTTTACATATAAAACAACGTTGTACTCTGCTAATTATGTAGGTTCCTTTCAGACTGTGAGAAATATTGATGGTAAACAAAACTTTATTATAACTACCAACATTGTATAATCCTAAAGTAATCACATCACATTGTGATGGCGTGTTTCAGAGACGAGAAAGACTTACACTGCAGAGGTCCCCAACCTCTGGGCCGCAATGAGCAAAGCCCCATCTGCACATGTGCAGGATCCAGGCAGCATTCAAAACCACGCCTCCCCAGTCCTCAGAAAAACTGCCCTCCACGGAACCAATCCCTAGCGCCCTTAGAAATTTTTGTTGATTTAAGTAAAGCATACACAAATAATTAGTAAGGTTGAATTTTGGAATGTTTTGTATGAATATGGATTTCAGGTTTGATTTCTGAATGTGATAATAGTACTGTATGATCGAAGTAAAGTACTGTGAGAATAAATACAATACTTAGTAAAGAGTTCCATATTGATATATATGATACGATATCATCTTAGTTGTTTAATATAGTTATGCATAACACTTAAGGGATGCTTGTAGAGACAGTTTGGTTTTGGATTGATTATGTGCCATCAAATTGGTGTTGACAACATGAGAATCTATGACTCTCATCATTATGGAAATATTTCAGAACTTCCAATGGTGCACCCATCACCATTGTAACTGACTCCATCCAACTGGCTGCTTGTCATCCTTTCCAGTTCCAAGGACAGTTGTTTTATCTGTTTGATATTAGTTTGGTATTTTTTATATTTAATTTTGTGTCTCCATCTGGTTATGACCAGGGGTGGGATTCAAATTTTTTAACAACCAGTTCTGTGGCCGTGGCTTAGTTGGTGGCCGTGGCTTGGTGGTCATGTTATTGGCTGGGCATGGCCAACTCAATATCACTCACATCGAGGCATGCCTCTCATGACTGTGGGGATGCTGCAATAGTCATAAGTGTGAAAAATGGTCATAAGTCACTTTTTTCAATGCCATTGTAACTTTGAATGGTCACTCCACACAAGCAAAGTATCAGCAAAGGAAGGGAAAAAAACTCCAGAGAAGTTCCTGAGACAGGAAGTCTAGTCCTGCCAAGAACGTAATAAGGGTTAACGGAGAGGCAGTTTCTGTAAGCAACACCAGAATGTTTCCTTCCTGCCTTCCTTACAGGATTACGCCAGTAATTTCTTCTAACAACTGGTTCTCCGAACTGCTTAGAATGTAAACAACCGGTTCTAGCGGATAGGTGCAAACTGGTAGAATCCCACCCCTGGTTATGCCCATGTATAAAAGCATCCTTTTGGTTGTTTGAAGACCATGTTAGCTATGAAGAAATGATTGGAGCCCTGGTGGTGCAGTCGTTAAAAGTGCAGTATTGCAGGAAAACTCTGCCTACAGTCAGGAGTTCATTCAACTTTTCATCCTTTTGAGGTTGATAAATTGAGGACCCAGAATATTGGGGGCAATATGCAATAATGCTTCTACATTGTAAATAGCCCAGAGAATGCTATAAAGCGCTGTGATGTGGAATATTAATCTCAATGCTATTGCTTTTGGTTACAGAAATAGATAGACTAATCTCCTGCTTCATTTTGGTTTTCTAAACTATTCAGTCCAGCTATTTTTCATCTTTCATGTTTCCACATCTTGGTTGAATGGCTTTTTAGCAGGTGCAGAACACTGCTTAAGGGGTTGTCTATTAGGACACATAGATCTCTCTCACAGTCACTAATTATTGAGTCATGTACCACCTATTTTATATCTGTACATTTGGGTTTTCTTACCTAAATGTATGATCTTAATTTTTTTCAGCACTTAATTGCATTTTGTTGGATAGTCTTTGTTGAAGTCTGTCAAGATTCTTCTGTACATTGAGACTGTTTTCTAAAGTGTTCATTATTTCCCCCACCCTGGTGTTTCCAAATATGATGAGTTCCCCTTCTGTCCCCTTATGAAAATCATTTATGAAGATGTTAAATAGCTTAAGACAGAACTTTGAGCCACTCCGCTGCATGTTTCCCTCCATGTAGTTGTAGATATATTGAGGATTACCTGCTGGGTGCAGTTGGTCAACCAGTTGTGAATCCATCTAGTGATGCTGTCTATGCCACACTTTTCTATCTTACTAAGAAGTAGGCTGCCATCTGCTTTGTCGAATGCCTTACTGAAATCTAAGTAAACTATGTCTACAGCACTTCTCTAATTTAGTCATTTTGTCAAAGAAGCCAATAAAGTTTGTCTGGCATGATCTGTTTTTGACAACCCCTGCTGGCTTCTAATAATTGCCTTGTTCATTTCTACGTGCTCACAAATGGACTGTTTGATTATCTTTTCCAGAGTCTTTCCAGATATTAATGTCAGGCTGATTGATCTGTAGTTTCCTGGATCCACTTTTCCCCCTTTTTTGAAGATGGGAACCACATCAGCTCTTTTCGAGTCTTCTGGTATTTCCTCAATGCTCCAGAGTTTTTGAAAGATATATTTGGGTTTCTGAGATCACATCGGCCAATTCCTTCAGGAATCTAGGATTATGCTATTAGTACATTGCACTATTAGTATTACACCATTAGTACTCTAAAGCAAGATTATAAGTATTTTAGTATTTTACGGGGAATTGATTGTATAAAGAGAATCAATTGTAAAACAAATTATGAAGGAAGATTATAGGGGTCAAGAGGAAGACTGAAAAAAATTACAACTGAAAGAGTTGATGAATTGCAAAAACAAAAGTATCAAATGATAAATTAATACGGTGGGAGCTAGGATGATTTACAAAGATCAAAAAGTATGGAGAAATAGTGCATAGTGTTGGTATATGTTCGTTTCAGTTAAATTTCCTTCTCTTTTTCCCATATCATGTATTTAGTTTTTTATACCTTTTTTCTGAGCTCTACATAACATTTATCCTGAAAGTAAATAGCCAGAGGAATATGTATGACTTGAGAAACGTTGAAGATTTTACATAAAAGTGAAAATTACTTCTAGTGTTTTTGCACGGAAACACTATTTTGATAGGCATATTTGGAGTTTCAACATTGACCAAACTTTAATAACATAGATGTCTTGATGGAGCTCTTCTACATTATTAAGTTTCAAAACATTTGTACAGTATTTAGTGTCCCTCAGCTGGTGATAGAATTTGCTGCCCTTAAGCAGGGTTAGTGGGGCCTCATTAGTATGTTGATGGAGACTACTGGGGCTTTGGGCCAAACTGGGAAACTGAAAAACCTCCTGAGCAAAGACTGGCAAACAATCTCCATGCTGTTATCTATAAAATCACATGGTTGTGTCAATAATGTCAATGCGAATTTTGCTCAGCAATAAAGAGATTTTAATTTTTTATTAGAATGGTGCAATATATGAATATCCAAAGATCACAAGATATGAATGAAGAAAATTATTTCAGTATTAAAGGAAGCTCAGGCTACCAAGTTTGGAGACGTTTCAAACAAAGCCACTGATAAGAGGTGAAAGGAATTATCGGGACTGAATGCCTCCATGGATAATTAAATAAAGGTTGGCTACATACTTCTGTTGATTACATTTGTAGGAAATTCCTCAGATCCTGAGTTAGGTTTATCTGATTTAACAAAGTTGTGTATTCTGCTAGCAACTTGCTAGTAGGAAGTTTCTTGCAGCATTTACTCAAAAATACCATATCTCTCATAACATTTGTTGCCCTGTTACATTTTGTATCTTTCAGACATAAATTCTTCTCTAAAACAAGCATATTAATCTGTCTCTTTCAATGTTTCCTTAAAGAATGTAGGATTTTGCTCTTCTGGTCATTCTACGGCATGTTTCCTTATCCTTTAATGAGTTGGCCTACTTGCTGATTATTGGTGATTTCTTTTTTCTTCTTATCTGAGGGTCTGATAAGCTATCCCTTGATTTCTTTTTCTGAGTTAATCTATACACGTCCCCTTTTTTAAGTCAACCCCATTGTCAGTATTGCATGACTGAGTCAGTCATCATGTTAGGGCTGCAGAGAAGCCCTAAAAGACCTTGGAGTGTCCCTTATTCAAAGCCCTTGTGTAACATTTTGAGAGCATTATCAACAAAAATATAAACAACTAAGACAGCATCTTCAATAATAAATACGTTGCATGTCTGTTTAGAACAAATTTATTTTTCTGAGTGAGCACATGTACAAACTCGCGTGGTGTGTATAAATGTTTATAAAATGAAGTGTGAAGTTCAAGAATCAGGAGCACATGCTGCTTATTGCTCCAGATTGACATGTATCCCCCCCACCCCACCCGGCCTCTATTTTGCTGTCAGAGGCCTTTGGAAAGGCTTCTGCAGCCAAGAAACAAGCTCTGGATTGACAGCGAAAGGCCTCTGGTAGTGAAACGGGTGCAACGCTCGTTTCTCAGCTTTCCAAAATGGAGGCTGGGAGGGGGTGCTGTGCGTGAGCAGTGGTAGGTGGCTGCAGAAGTGGGCTGGCCGTGGCCACATGGGTTCCTCTGGGATGGGGCTATTGGTACTGCCACCGCAAGGTGAGACAGTCAAAAAGGCATCCTCAAAAATAAGACTTAATGCCTCTTTTAGAGGAAAAAAAAAAAAAAGACCAGGTCTTATTTTCAGGGAAACACAATATCTGTCTTTCCTTCAACTTACTTGGAATCTCTATTTTATCTCCACAAAAAATACCCCTGTGAGGTAGGCCTCAAATTACCAGTGATTTCCCAAAATTGGAAAAGAAACTTGAACCTGGGTCTCACTGGTCATCTCTTCAATTTCTGTAACATACTGACTCGTTCTCACACGCTAAGCCAAAACTAAACTAATCACATTTGGACTTCATTTATTTATTAAATTTATATGGCACCCATCTCCTCGATAGGGTGACTCTGGGCAGCTTAAAGAACAGAAAAAGATACATAGAAAAGCAAATTGCACATTAACATTTTAAAACTATGCAGAAAACCAGGATCAAGAAGACAGATGGGATGGGGTTGAGGTCTTCTTACCACATCAACAACCTCCAGTGATGAGCACCCTTCTCATGACTCCAAGCCAGCCAGCAAACCCAAATTTGAATGCCCTTCTGGAAAGCTAAAAGGGTGTGAACGGTTCTCATCTCCAGTGGTAGTGTGTTCCACAGGGTGGGGCCACAGCAAAAGACACTCTTCTCTGTGACCCCACCTGCCTGAATTCCTTAGTAGATAGGGTCCATAGCAGGCTTCTTCTGCTGGTATGAGTGGGACAGGCTAGTTTCATTGGTGTGAGATGACTCCTCAAATAGGCCCAATGCCATTGGGGTTTTAAGGGTATTAAAAATAATTAACTATAGTCTTGAATTGGACCCAGAAGCAAACTAATAACCAATTCAGATCATGCAGCAGTGGTGTTATATGTGGCACCCTAGGACTTTCGAATACTCTTCAAAGGTAGCCCCATGTAGAGCACATTGCAGTAATCCAACTGAGAGATGACTAGGACATAAGTGACCTCATGATCCAGATAAGGGTGCGATTGGTTCACAACATGAAGTTGCCTAACGGCCCTCCCGCTCTTTGAACAGGAATCGCGAGTCCAGGAGACTCCCAGGTTGCCACACCAAGTCTGTCTGCAGTGCAACCCCATCCAGAACTGAAGACTATATCAGCCAGTTTAAGAGGTGCCTTGCACCCACAGTCATTCCATCTTGCCAGGGTCCAGCTGAACCCTGTGGTCCTGTATCCACATCCCCTACAGCCTCCAGGCACTGAGAAAGGGTGGCCACAGCATCACTTGGATTATCAGGGATGGATAAGTAAAGCATAGTGATAATACTTTGTCCAATGGTTTCATGTTTGTTAAAAAGAAGCGAGTAGAAGCTGAGCCCTATGGCACCCCACAAGGGAATGGCTGTGGGTTGGAATTCTCTCTCTCTCCCTCCCTCCCTCCAAGCCCCACAGCCAACCCAAAAAGATCCTATGAAATGTCAGTCTATTCTGAGTCATAGATATGCTTAGAAGAGGCTGGGCCTCTGCTGTAGAATTGAGAATCCCTTATGCAGCACCAAAGTAAAGTTAGTAAGCACCAACCAGCAGCACCAGAAGATTACCAGTAGATTTTAAAAGTTTCATTTTGTCGTCTCCCATTTTTTCCCCTAGGTCATTTAGACCGAACATACCAAAAGAACCTGACTGACAACCTTTCTTACAGTTCCTTTCAGGTTCATATCCAGTGCAACTTGTTAACCATTATCTAGCCAGATACTCTAGTCAGATAACAATGCCAAATATTGTAAAATATTTCAAGTCATACCCCTTAGGATACTTAGCACATATTATATGAAAAGACAGTCTCTGTTCTGTACAGAATACACTCTATTCTGTGGAGCTCAGCAACTAAGGGAATCAATGCTTGTAGCTACAAGTAGTCCTCAGCTTATGACAATTGACCCCAAAATTTCTGTTGCTAAGCGAGATGTTTGTTAAATGAGTTTTGCTCTATTTTACGACCTTTTTCCCAAAGTTGTTAACTGAATCACTGAAGTTACTAAGCTAGTAACACAGTTGTTAAATGAACCTGGCTTCTCCGTTGACTTTGCTTACCAGAGGGTTGCAAAAGATGACCACATGATCCCGGGACACTGCAATCCTCATAAATATGAACTGGTTGCCAAGCATCTGAATTTTGATCATTGACCACGGGGATGCTGCAATGGTCATAAATGTGAAAAACGGTCATAAATCACTTCTTTCAGTGCCACTGTAACTTTGAATAGTCACTAAATGAACAGCTGTAAGCCAAGGACTCCATGTATGGTTTAAAAAGCATGACCTCAGTAACATAATGGTGAGTTGTCATCACTTAGATAATATGGGTTGATGCATTAAAAGAGGCAGTGATCCTATGCTACAAGCCCCACCTCCATTGGTTGGCTTGTTCTACTCCCATGAGGTGCACCATTTCCTGTAGTCATCTGAATACATAGATACGAGTAGGAAACAAGTAAAAAAACGAATAAGAATTGAGGCACTAAGGAGGACAATAGATGATGGATAGAAAGAATTGCTTTATAAATATTAAGGAAGCTTGATTGTAAGTTGGAGAAGCAGAAATAAACTAGTTAGGGGAAATTCTGTGGTTTTGTTTTTCTTTTATGGTCTTTATTACCAAAAAAATGATAGATTAAAGTTTATAGAGGTTAGGCATCCTTTTCCTAATATAGGTTTATTCGGGGGGGGGCGGGGGGCTCCCTTTATGGAGCAAAAAAAAAAAAGAAAGATTAAAGGTTTATAGATGTTAGGCATCTTTTTCTTAATGTAGGTTTAAATAATATAAAAAGGATTACATACATTTGATTGTAATAAAGAATACTAATATGGTAAATTGGATTAATAGATTTTTTTTAAAAAAATGAATACATAGATCTACATATGTTAACTAATTAAGTGGAATGTGGTTAGGCTTAACTCCTAGCAACCATCTTTGATAAAAATTCATAGCTGTCCCATAACTATTCCAGTAATTGCGTTGATCCTATCCATCTCTCCATCAACTGGTTCTTTCCAAATAAAAAACAATGTTCCTCTGTTGTTTTTTTTCTAAGGTTGTTGCTGAGGTATGTGAGCTTATTCAGTGTTTCTGAATTTTGGTGACTTTGCGATAGGTGGCTGGGGAATTCTGGAAGCTGAACTGCACAAATCTTAAAAGATGCCAAGGTTGAGAAACATTCATCGAAGTGACAGAGAAGCGTTATTGCTCAATTACAAATAAACTTTAGATGCTGCTTGATTAGACTTGTTTTAAAAACCTATTTCCAAATCTGTTCTGGGAATCTCTGCCCAGACTTTCGACAAGTCAATACCACCTGATTTCTCCCCATTAGCTGTGCAAGACTCACCGCTCCTCTAAGTGAGTAGATGCCCTGGAGCCAAAGGGTGGCGGTATAAAGCAATCGACTGCTGTTCTTTCTAGGCACATTATTTTTGTCAACGTCCTCAAAACATTTCAATTACAATGGGGAAAAAAACAGAGCACTTCCAGAATATGCAATTTCTTTTTTCAACATGAGACAATGTTGGTCAGAAGTGAATATGGATATTTGTGTTTACTCTAACCTCTCTCTCTCTTTTTTTTTTTTGGAAGGGCCTCTTCCTGAGCAATTATTAGCCCAGGAAGACAATATGTGATTTGCTGAACTATTGTGTTGTTAATCGGGTTCTACTGCTATCTTTTGCTTTGTTCCTGGACAGATCAGGCAGAGTCAGCAAATTATTAGGTTTGGAAAGAGTTGTTGGACTGGTTTTCTGAGTGGCTGTTGGCTAAGCAAATGTCTGAGCATGTGGTCCAAGGGGGAGGGTCACACAGCTGCAGTTGACTCATGGATCAGATGAGCAACTGATGAGTAAGGACATAATTCTTTCAGTAACTGCTCCCTCTTAACCTTATTTTTTTAGAAAAAGAACAGGCGACTCGTGGCCCATGACGGAGTAGTAATAGGAGAAATGGAGAAGTTGAAACTGCTTCCTTGCTTGCTCATTTGATTTATACACTCACCTTACACAGCATAACCTTGGACAGATCACAAACAATACTAAAAACATAAAAAAATAGGGGGGGGGAGGAACCCACAATACTAAACTCCTGGTGTCCCCAGTTGTAGCACATTGACTGCTCCATTTAGCTTCAGCCTCACATTATCCCAACCCTTTTGGGGAAAGTCAAAGCTTTTGGAAGGCTAGAAGGGCAGGGCTTACCAGATCTCAGGAGGAAGGGTGCAGTAAAGAGCAGGGGGCACTGCCTAGATCCCACTAAATGGCAATATTTAAGGAAGGAACCTGGAATCTGCTCACTCGGCAGACCTAATGAGCCATAGTGGCGCAGTGGTTAGAGTGCAGTAGTGCCGGCTACTTCTGCTGACTGCAGGCTGCAATTCAGCATTTCAATTCTCACTGGCTCAAGGTTGGCTCCGCCTTCCATCCTTCATAGGTGGGTCAAATGAGGACCCAAACTGTTGAGGGCAATAGGCTGACATTTAAAGAGTGCTGTAAAGCACCGTGAAGCCATATATAAACGTAACTGCTATTGCTGCTATTGCTAATGGAATAGGCAGATACCCTCAAGATGCAATCCGTAAATGACCTGACTGTGGATCATTAAAAGCTTTAAAGATAACAAGTATTTTGAATCACACCCAGAAACTGAAAGCTAGTCCAGCTCACACAGCAGCTATTTAACATGAGCAAACCACAAGAGTGCCAAAAGTGCACCTGCAATCTCATTCTGGACCAGTTGCAATTTCAGGATGGTTTTCAAGGGCCAGCCTCATGTAGAACACATTGCAGTAAACCAACCAGGTGTGACTGCAAACAAGGCCTCCTGCTCCAGGAATGGATGCAATTGCTTCCCAAGATTAATCTGTGTCATAGTCGCCATCTTGAGCAGGCACTATGAGTCTAGGTCTAGGAGGACATCCCCTACCAGCTCTGTCCAGAGATGTGCAACACCAGCAAGAATCAAAGATGATGTCTTGCCAGAACTTTGGGGTAGGGGTTCAAAAACCCAGAATCATTTAATTTTGAAGCCGATTCCTCCCTATCCAAATCCTTATAGTATCCAGGCACTCAGTCAGAATTGCTTGGTTGGCCAGTGATGGAAATGAGTAGCTGGGTATCATAAACTCACTGATAATACCACACTGTAAGAAGTAACCTTGAGGAAATAACAGGAGGAAGAGCTAAGACAACAGTCAAATAAAAAAACAAAACCCAAGTTCAGGGCAGAAATGTAATACGGTATAGAAAGCATCTCAGACATACCCTCCCTGGTTCTTATGAAGACAAAGGGAAGTGGGTCCATATTTCAAAATTTATTTACTATAACCTTATAATAAAAGTACTATTAGTTTCCATGACTTTGGTTTCTAAGTTTGAACTACTTTGGAAGATAGACATATACAACATGTGATCGGATAAGCTCTTCCAAGCTGCATCAAGTAGATAGATGTTGAAGAAGAGTAAAAGACTCAAAGCATTGACTTTTCAAAAGTAACTGGACTTTCTTGTTTTTCCTTGAAGACATTTAGCTTCTCACCCAAGAAGCTTCTTCAGTTCTGCCTCAAGCATTGAGACACCCCAAATTGAAGAGGCCAAGAGTGTCCACCAACTGGAACCTACTGAAGGAGAACCATAGCAAAACTCCAATTCCCAACAAACCAGAGCTAGTCCTGGAAATTATCAAAATCAGTGATACTAAAACCAGTGAAAGATCCAGGAGGGTCAGAATGGATGGACCACCTCATCCCAGACCCTCCACAGTTAATCCACAGAGACAACTAATGCTGTCTTAGCACTATAACCAGGCCTGAATCCTGACTGAAAAGGGTCTAGATACTGCAGGCCAAGCTGGTATTAAATAGCAACACCCAGAGAGTCCAAAGGTATCAGGGCTTCAGATAACAGGCCTTGTGGCTGAGCACAGGGGTCAAAATATACTGTAGTATTGGCCTTAAACACAGAGCCTTTTCCACCATACTTCCTGATGCCCATCAACAAATAGAGTTCTCCACTTAGAGCAAGCTTTTACTTTCTCAGAATAACAAAGTTGGAAGGGACTTGGAGGTCTTCTAGTCCAACAACAGGAGAGCCTTTATACCATTCTGGACAAATGTGTCTGATCTCTTGTTAAAAAACTCCACAACTTCTGGAGAAAAGCTGTTCCACTGATTAATTGTTCTGATTGACAGGACATTAGTTCTAGGTGGATTCTCTCCTTGATAAGTTTCCATCTGTTACTTCTTGTTCTGCCCTCTTTGGAGAATAGGTTGACCCCTTTACTGTGACAGCCCCTCAAATATGTCACCCCAGTCCTCCTCTTGGTTAGACTAGACATACCCAGTTCCTGCAAATGTTCATCGTATGTTTTAGTCTCCAGTCCCCCCATCTTTGTTGCTCTTCTCTGCACCTTTCTGGAGTCTCAATATTGCTTTTGTATCCTGGTGACCAAAGCTGGATGAAGTACCGTATTTCAAGTATGGCCTTACCAAAGCAGTATAAAGTGGTACGAACACTTCACATGATCTTGATAACTGTCCGTCTGTTGATACAGCTTAGCCTCTCCCTGCACCTCCATTTTACCTAACCAATATACTGGCTAAGAGAAGAGCTCCAACAACAAATTACATGCAAAACTAATGTCATATCATTTGTTTTTAATAGAATTAAGATGTGTAGTACAGATTTAACAGTAACATGTTTATAAAAAATGATATTTTTTTTACTTTTGCAAAATAAGCACTATGTGTATAGATAGATGTATATACTCCATAGGAATGTAACAAAAGATCTTCTAAGTAGCTCTTTAGAAATAAGTCAAATCCTCATGCTTTTCTTTCTTGCTCTGGTAATTAGTGAGCTCCACTGGCTTGTTTTCATGGGGGAGCCTTTGGTACACTCGGACATGAAAGTACTCTTCATTCCCCACATGGATCTAGAAAATAAGAAAAACAATCAGATCCAATACCAGACAGAGAAAGCGAAAGTTAGTCTAATTAGCAAGAAATACTGCTTATAAACAATTTACAATATCTCAGGAAGGTTAGGAGTGGGGGGCGGGGGTGGTGTCTGCATCCAGATCAAAGGGAGGATTTTGGCATCTCCCTCTTTCCTACCTTGAAAATGGACTTTAGAGTAACAGAGTTGGAAGGACCTTGGAGGTCTTGTAGTCCAACCTCCTGCTCAAGCAGGACACCTTATACCAATTTAGACAAATGGATGTCCAATCTATTTTTAAAAACCTCCAATGTTGGAGCACCCACAACTTCTGGAGACTACTCATCCTATGATTAATTGTTCTAACTGTTAGGAAGCTTCTTATTAGTTCTCGGTTGCTTCTCCTTGATTAGTTTCCATCCACTGCTTCTTAATCTGCCTTCAGGTGCTTTGGATAATAGGTTGATCCCTCTCTTCTTAATGGCAGCCCCTTAAATATTGGAAGGTAGCTATCATGTCACCCCTAATCCTTTTCACTAACCTAGACATACCAAATTCTTGCAACCATTCATGTTTTAGCCTCCAATCCCCTAATCATCTTTGTTGCTCTTCTCTACACTCTAGTCTCAATGTCTTTTTTATATCGTGGCAACCAAAACTAGATGTAGTGTTCCAAGCGTGATTTTACCAAGGCATTATAAAGTAGTATTAACACGATCCCTTTATGCTCTGTGCACCATGGTTGCAAAGGGCTCTATCAAACCTGTTATTGGTCTTGACAGAGACTCCTTCGATCCATCACACAGCAAAATGAATTGCATTTATACAACTTAAAAAACTGACTTGGCCTTTTTTTTTTCCTGATCCACTACCATTATCGGCACAGAGCACTCATGGGAGTTGTACAGCTCCTGCATATATTACCTGAACCACCTTTATTATATCTATTAACTGGGCAGCAAATATTAGAACACAGATATTTTTTCTTTTAATTGGCAGCAGGCGCAGTGACTATTGCCACTTATAGGGAAATCTAGAGTGTTTTCATTTCCAGCCGATAGATGAAGTTTATCACTCACAAAAGTTGGGGAAATCTGGGCTGTAAAATCTGAATGATGGCTAGAGAGTCGCAAAGAGATATTGGGTGTTTTTACAACCCAGATAAGGTAATCCTATGCAAGAAGAAATTTATACTATAGCATCTTATAGGAACCACATGTACTACCTTGATGAAGTAGTTTATTCCGGCAACTACTTGTGTTTTATATGAAACGGCATCGAAGATGTCAAACTTTCTGCTTTCTTTTTCTTCCAGTTGTGACTTTATCTTTGGGAACAGAAAAGGAGAAAAATGCATGTTGTTGCTGTTTAAAACACACATCCTGCAATGCCACAGTCATTATTTGAAGATACAAATACAAAATGCAGAAATGAAATAAAAAAATGAAAGTTGAAAAGATGGTCTCTAAAAAGATATCACTGAAAGCATCTGCATTCCAGCTTGAAATGCCCCCAAACCAAATGTGGTACATTCTTGAGGCAATGTTTTACTGTTTTTATTCCATGCTTCTGTTCAAGTTTATATTTTTATAATGCCTCAGTCTTGGGGTGTTCAAGCACACTTCTACAAATTATACCTCACTCCGGTTGGCCCCAAGAGCCAGTTGTTCTACCCCATTTAGCATTTGATGGATAGATCCTAGAATTAGAAGTGTTTGCATCACAGATGAAGAATTAAACCATTCTTCTTTTCCAGCTAAACATGAACTGTTATGTTTTGTGACTATTTGTACAATCCTTCCTTTTCTGTTTCACATTTCACATTAGACTATGCTTAGTTTAATTGTTCTGGAGTGTTTTGGGTGTCCAAATCTAGTAGAAATGAAGAAAGAAATTTCGGTGGCTCACTAAATTTACCATCTTATTCTGTCTTACTGGGATGGAAGCTCCATTGATCTCAATGGGATTTATTCCGATGCAATACATACAGTTAGGGGTATTTAAAAAAAACAACAGGTTACCCATCCTGTCTTATAAGAAAGTTTAATTAACCAGCACTATTCAACTGGTTTTTGCTTTACTGTTAGAATGGAAAGCCTATGTTTGATGTTTTATCATCATTTCTATTTGAAAATTAATTCTACAAGGGCAGGTAGAATTCAGTGCACTTGTGTTTAGAGTCCTGCTCTAGAACCAAATTCCTATACAGATTACTCACATAATAAAGCAAATTATTTCAACTCATATGACTTCTAATTCTACAAAAAGGAGCAATTCTGATGGGCTGCTTTTAGAAAATGCATTATGTCACTGTTTTCTGAAACATAACTTAATAAATACAGCCACAACTAACTTAGCTTATGCCACATGTTAAACCATCACAGTGGTTTGCTTCATAGTACAAAGTATGCCAGAATCAAGGACATTTTATGTTCTTTTTTATTGTAAGGTCATTATAGTTTAACAATATGTCACTATGTCAATCATGAATGTTTGCCCAATTGTAAATTAGAAAATAATAATCGAGGAACTAATAACCATGAAATGAAATACTGCTTATTCAGTCAATGACCAGCAAAATAATAATGACTGCAAAGTAATTTTGAAGAAATAAATAGGAGAAATTATCCTGTTCTGTGGAAAGTGATGCACAAAACTTTATTTGCTAAACTCTGTAACACCGCAAGGTATATCAGGAACCAGCAAAGATATATTTGCTTTGCTGTGCCTGGTAGATAATCAGAAAGAGCAACAGAGAAAGCAGAGCTACACTGCAATGAAGTAGTGCATTAAGAGCAAATGTTTTATCCTCTCATTAAATAAGAATATTTGGGAGGGGGATTTCTTGTTGCTTGTTTGTCCTAAATCAGGATCCTCATATTCTTCCAATTGGTCAGTCTTATGAATGAACATTCTGCCCAGATAATTTTACAAATCTTGTATGGAAATGCAATCTTTACAATATTGCAAAGCACAAGCAAAAATTTAATTCTGGATATTCAACCAGCTCTTTACTGAAGTGTCTGACTCAGGTAATTTTCAAACTTTAAAAGAAATACAATACCAGAAAATAGATGCTATTTCCTGAGTGACAATTGGGTCCCCGGAATGAAGCAGCAACTTTAAAATATCAGTTTAAATGTTTCACAAAATAATTTCTGGATTTTTTTTTAAATTATCCTGCTTCTTTCATATAGAATTCAAGGCTGTAAATATACCAGATACTCTTTCCTCCAGCTATTTTCCTCACAACAAGCTGCTAGACATCTCTCCTGCAAAAGATATCTCAGCCTATAGAAGGAAAGGGGGCATGGGACAGGTCTCAGAAGGGATCCTCCCTAGTTTCCTGGAAAATAGAAGCAAAAGGAGGGGGAGAAATACTTGTGGGCTTTTAACAGTTTGTTAATATACTCTTACAATAAAGTTAGAGGTAGTATTCATAATTGTACTTCTTGTCTGGTCTATCTCGAAGGGCTTTACAGGCTGAAGATTATCTATGGGGGAGGGCAATACTCACTGCTGCCATTTGGGTGTTTTAAAGGGAACTTGAAAATAACAATGGAAGGAGGCGACGCCCTCCAATCTGGGCTCGTTATGAGCAACTAAAATGCATCCACACGGCTACCGTGGGACACCCAACGGCAGATTCCAACCGAGCTCCTTAGATTTTTTTGGTCAAACCACAGCCACAGTTGGTTGAAAAGGTGAGGCAAGAAGCAGAGCAGTTTCATCCCACCACTACCCGGGCTTCCGTCCAAGGCTACGACAATTAAATCGCAGCCTCCACCTCCGAATACCCTTAAGCCCCCCTCGTCCCAGTGCCCCGATTAGAAAGGAGAAAGTCTTTGTTCAGATGGCGCCAAGTTAGAAACTTTTGACAACCAACTGAAGGCTTCAGGGCGAGCGCAGGGGCCGTGGGGAGAAAAGGGAAAGAAGTCGTCAGGCGAGGATGCCAAGTTGGCTTTTTTTCTTTTTACCTCCTGCGTGATTTGCTGCGTCTCCGCAGTCGCTGCCTTTGGCTCGGAGAGTCCGCCGCACGACATCGCTGGTGGAGGGAAAGGAGGTAGCGGCGCCCACTCGCTGTGCAAACCACAAACTCAGCGTTTCCTGCCCCTCGCCCCTAGCCGTCCAGGCCTTGTATCAGCTGTCTCGTCAGGGGCGTAACCAGAGGGGGGGGTGAGGACCAAGCATCTCATTCGATGGACAGAGTATTTCCGGGTTCCGAAGCCATTTTTGGAAAACATGCGCTGTGAGTCAGTCAAAAAGCTGGGAGGCTTTAGGGAAGGGTGCCGGCTGGCTCATGTCGGTGACTCAGTTAATAGTGCGTGGAAATAAAGGCTAGGAAGAGACGCTTCTTCTAACTCCCGTCATTTTTATTTGAGCGTCTTAGTTCCTAAACGCTGCGCGATTGCAGACAGAATGCAAATGCAACCCCATTATTTTGGCCGGTCTGTTAATATGGAGGCAGCGTTTGCACATAATCCTCAATCTAAACCGAAAACATGTATGGGAAGCACGGGCCTTTACTTTTACACGTCATCCCCCAGAGGCCGCCGGCAAATCCTGTGTATCACAGCTAGCCAGTCTTTTTTGGCAATGCCTAACATTAAAGCATGGATCACCTGTGGGTGGAGTCTAACGATCATTTTAAGTATTACCAGGGATCCCTCCTGAATGAATTAAAGCAAAAGAATGATAAACGGAGCCTTGTGAACAACAAAGCACAAGATGACAACACACTCACCTGCCCAAGGAGCATAGAAATGGGAAAATCCATGCCTTGCCTGGTATTAGTTTTCCTTGTTTCTAGAATAATGTTTAAGTTGTTAAAAGACTGACAACAGTTCATTTAGTGACCCATTCAAAGTTACAATGGCACTGAAAAGTGTGACTTACGACTGTTTTTCATAGTTACAACCTTTGCAGCCTCCCCATGATCATATGATCAAAATTCAGATAAACTTGGTTCATATTTATGACAGTTGATGTTTCCCAAGGTCACTTTTGCAAACTTCTTACAAGCAAAGTCAATGGGGAAGCCAGATTCACTTAACAACCAGGTTACTAACTTATCAATTGCAGTGATTCACTTAACAACTGAGGCAAGAAAGGTCGTAAAATGGGACAAAACTTAATTAACAATAGAAATGTTGGGCTCAATTGTCATAAGTCGAGGACCATCTGTTCCTGATTCTTATGAATTGATGCCTCAGATCCACAGTGATAAAGGAACAAAAATGTATTAGCAATAATTATTTTTATTTTGAGTAAAAATGATCTCCAGCTAATCTTAGATGCTTTGGAACAGTTTTAACTATAAGGGTGCTCAGAGGTGGTCGTTCACTGGATTTGAAGGTTTGCACTTACCTTGTATACAGGGACTTGACAGAAGTGCACATGGCCACAAATGTGTCCGTGTCCATGATACAATATTTGCTGAACTATGGATGCTCAAAAGCAATGTTCATCTAATAATAAACACATACAATGACAATATTGCAATGCTGTAGAAGCTTCTAGGTCCTGAGCTTTGAGCTGCGCAATTGAAACTTTGTAACTGTGTTTTAGTTACAGTTGCACATTAAGCAAACCATGGAAGAGCTGCTAACGATACTCAGTTTTATATCTCCACCCCAGATCACCTAAGTGATGCCATAGACTGGTTCTGTTCCAGTGTCCGCAGGCAATGGGGGCCTAGATACAATGTGACCCTGGATATCTGAAGTTTTACATGCAGCAGACAAAAGCATTTCAATATAGGTTCACAATGGTTTCTTACCAAAGGATTCCTCCCCAGAGAAGAGAAAAGACAGGGGGTAGAAAAGTAGTGATCCAAAGATCACAAAGTGGCTAATCCATGTCCAATAGTGGGTGTGCCATGTAAGCTGTATAGAATGATACTACTAACAATATTTCAGGATCTATGCTAGCATGAAAAGGAGACTATATAAATATTTAATTGCTTTAGGATGGCATTTAACATGCTGAGTACTGGATTTTTGATCAACTAGTACTCACTGTAGTTAATTAAACCAAAAATTAAAATTACTTTTAAACGATATAGTATATTTGTATATAAACTGCAGCAAATTTATCAGCATTTATCAGACTATTTCACCCTCTACATTTTCTATTCCCATAGCATGTATATATTTTTAATTTTCACATCTAATCTATTTCTTTATGAACCAAAAATACACTTTCTTAGTTCTCTCTACTTCATATTCCTGAGACACTTCAGTTGTAAAAACCATTGTTTGTTTACCACTGAGTTGGCCGTTGATAGTTTCTTCTAGAACAGGGATGTCACATGCAGGCCACATCCGCCCCAGTTCCGTGAATGGGGGAAATGTTACAAAACATCATGTGACAGCAACGTGACACCGGGAGTTTGACACTCATGTTCTAAAGATTCAAACACATTCAAACACAGAAGAGTTCTTAGTAATTTTTTATATAAAGGGCTGATAAGACGAGGCACTTCGTATAATTTTACAGGGCACTTTTTAAAATTTGTCTAACTCACAGCAGTAGCAATAGTCTCATTATGAGCAACATCACTACAAATGGTTTCTGAAATTTCCTGATCTTAATGGACTAAGGCAAGGGTCTTCCAACTTGGCAAGTTTAAGACTTGTGGACTTCAATTCCCAGAATTCCTGAACTAACATGACTGGAGGAGGAATTCTGGGAGTTGAAGTCCACACATCTTAAAGCTATCAAATTTGAAGATCCCTGGACTAAGCAATCAAAGAACTGATAGAAAACCACAGCTTTTAGTTTATAAGTTGAGGGGGAAATCTCACTCTTTCAAGAGTCTCAACATCTTTTCTGTATCATGGTGACCAGAACTGGAAGCAGTATTCCAGCTGTGGTCTTATACCAAGACAGTATATAGCAATACTAACACATTACTTGATCTTGATACCATCCCTCTGTTCATGTAACCTAGAATTATACTGGATTTTTTTGGCAGCTGCAGCACACTGCTGGCTCATACTTAAGTTATGGTCTGTTAGGACTCCTAGATCCCTCTCACAGTTAATGCTGATGAGCCAGATACCACCTATTCTATATCTGTTCATTTGTTTTTCCTTTCCTAAGTAAGGTCTTCTTTCACCACTGAATTGCATTTTGTTGGATAGGGCCCAGTCTTCAAGTCTCAGTTTAATTCTCAGTTTCCAAATTCAGTAGATTCTGAAAAAGTCTTTGTGCAAATCCAACCAGAGAAATAACTTATTGCTAATATTTTCTAAGAGTCAACTCAGAAATGAAATTGACAATAATTCAGTATCTGGACTTGTGAAATATAATTAATTGAGAAATGTTGGGTAGCATATGTGAGCCCTCTCACTTTCTTTCAACTTGACCCACTTTGTGGAAGCATAAATAATATGGAAGAGAGTTGACTGAAGATGTGGAGTTAAAATAAATAATATAATAATAATATAATAATAATGAAATAATAATTTCAGGATACTGAGTTCCATAAAAAGCTCTAAGAAAATAGCTGTAGCTGGGCTGCAAAGAAGCTAAGCAACTTGATAGTGGAAACTTACTGTAGTGTAGTTTATTGCCCTCTAGTGTTTGCTGGATTAATTGCAGTCCAGATATGACTCCTACTCGATGTGTTCCAGATTCCAAGAGTCAGTTGGCTATTTTGAATATCAGCAAATATTGTATAAGTTAATTTTTTTCCTGCTCTCAGGGCTGAGCAATTACATTTCTTGTCAGGATTTTTTTTAATTATTAAAAAAGATCTGTACTGCAATAATCAAAATAAATCTGGAATTTATATTGCTCTGCATACCCCTGACATTGACAAATCTTGAAAACATCTGCCTTTGAGATGGGGACTTGAAAGATGGGGACTTTTAAATCAAAGGCATGTTCCCTTCACCTGCATCTGAATTATTTCTGTAATGCTGGTGCAACGCCGTTGCCTTCTGTAGTCAGTCTACCCAAAGATGTTTAAAATTTCACAGGGGAAGGGGGTGCATTGTGCATGCACCTTCTTTTCAAGTCTGCTTGTGTCTTGAGGATTATCCATTATAGGATGCTTTTAATCCTGCATTCATGTTTGTGAATAATAAGTTTTAGCATAGTTCTGACTCAGGACTTGTCTTTTTCACTTAAGGTTTATGTAAACATTTGGGGAAGAATAATGTCATTGAGAGTGATAAGGAGGTGATCTGCCAGGAAGAATAGAATAGTATGAACCAACAATAATTTAGGTCTAAAAAAAACAAAGATCTGACACTTGGACGTGCTTCTTCTCAGAACGGCATTGTTTCCTTGAACAAATAAGGGTGAGTTGTTTTTTTGTTACCTGCAGATGTGATAGTAGAAAACAATGGAGAAGTAAAATTCATCATTGGCTTAGTGATGTTTAATAGCATTGGAAATTGCCTTGGCTGAAGCTTTTGATATAGAACAAAAAGCTTTGAAAAAGCTTACAATAACAAATATACACTGCTCAAAAAAATAAAGGGAACACTTAAACAACACAATGTAACTCCAAGTCAATTACACTTCTGTGAAATCAAACTATCCACTTAGGTAGCAACACTGACTGACAATCAATTTCACATGCTGTTGTGCAAATGGAATAGACAACAGGTGGAAAGCAGAGGCAGTTAGCAAGACACCCCCAATAAAGGAGTGGTTCTGCAGGTGGTGACCACAAACCACTTCTCAGTTCCTATGCTTTCTGGCTGATGGTTTGGTCACTTTTGAATGCTGGTGGTGCTTTCACTCTAGTGGTAGCATGAGACGGAGTTACAATCCACACAAGTGGCTCAGGTAGTGCAGCTCATCCAGGATGGCACATCAATGCAAGCTGTGGCAAGAAGGTTTGCTGTGTCTGTCAGGGTAGTGTCCAGAGCATGGAGGCACTACCAGGAGACAGGCCAGTACATCAGGAGATGTGGAGGAGGCTGTAGGAGGGCAACAACCCAGCATCAGGACCACTACCTCTGCCTTTGTGCAAGGAGGGACAGTAGGAGCACTGCCAGAGCCCTGCAAAATGACCTCCAGCGGGCCACAAATGTGCATGTGGCTGCTCAAACGGTCAGAAACAGACTCCATGAGGGTGGTATGAGGGCCCGACGTCCACAGGTGGGGGTTGTGCTTACAGCCCAACACCATGCAGGATGTTTGGCATTTGCCAGA